AGAAGGAAGGTCTCTAGGTAGGAAGAAAAAAAAAAAAAAACTTGAATTCTTGGTTGTTCCAAGCTTTGACCAGTTCCAGGTTTTTTGGTTTTTTTGCATTGGTAATCAGTTGTATAGTTTTACTTGTAGCATACAGCATTTAAAGGGAAAGTATTTTGAAGGAGAAAAGGCACTAGATTCAGTATCCAATCTCTCCCACAATTACGTGAAGGGAGTTATTCGGTGTAGTAATTTTTATGTTCCTGCTGTTGTGCCTCTAATCAAATTTGAATAAACCTTTTGTGTTCTTCAGAGAGTGTTCAGACTGACAAAAAGTATATATGGGCCTCCATTTCTGGGTCATTGTCATTTAGTGCTACTGTCCAGTATTCATGTTCCATTAAAAAGAAGTTCTATTATTCATCTAGCACAGGAAGGATGGGGAAGATGATACATGAAAAATAATAAAGGATGGCTGTTTCTGTTTGTGATGACTGTGCAGTATGAATAGCATTTCTCTACCATACACAGAGAGGAAGAGAATTTTATTAGTAAAGGTAGGAGGTGCAGTGGTAAGGGGTTTAACTATTTTTTCACAGCATGTGCTAAATATCTTATGGTGTTCTCATTTTTCTTAGAGAAGCCAAAATTTTCAACCTTCAGTGAAACACGGGTGTTTACTCCATCACAGGGAGAAGGGAGAATAAAAGACTTGAAGTGGGGGGTTTTAAGATTCATAAACATTACCTATTACATTTTCTCCTTTGGCTCACTCCTCCCGGTTTTGTATATTCTGACAAATTCACTCAGTGTCCACAAGATGGCCCTATGTATGGGTGTCTTCTGTGTGTTACTATATGGGGAGAGTACAGAGTCTCCTTCAGAGAGCACTGGAGGCAAAATAAGTATTTTACACAACTATGTATAAATCTAAACTATTTTAATATACATGAAGCAATAAAGTAAATAATGGTTCTGTTACTAAATCTGTTACTGTGCCCATTTGAGATCTGACATCACTAAGTCCTGCATAGAGATGGGTATTCCATGATACTGGAAAGGCAGGCATGATGGCTTTTCTGACCACCATATACACCATTATGCGATATTTAGTGTTAGTTGTTACAAAACAGTGACTTTATTTCATTATATTTTCATTACATACTTTGATTATTGTTGGGTTTTTTAACTATTATGCGATTAAAACAAATTAGTAGCCTCTGTGTATGCAGGTGCTAGGTTTGAATACATTGCAGAGTTAAAAATTACATAATGTTAAGAAACGGGAGTCCTGGCTTTTTAAAACGTTAAACAGTTTTCATTTTTATCAAATTCTGAGGGGGAGGTACCTGTAACATGCCAGAATTAATGCAAGTATGAAAAAGTGCTTTACAGCTGTAGCTTCCAAGTGCATGGAAACCTCAGGTCAGTGAAACATCAGCAATGAAATGAAGAGCAGAAAATTACTAAATAGGTGATGTTGTAATAATATTACTGGTTTTGTGGGTATGACTTTTGGTATATATTTCAGAGTGTCTTTCATCCCATTCTTCTGTTGAGAAACAAGATGTTCTAATATAAGGTTCCTGTTGTTTCTGAAGCACATTTCTTGGCCTTTCAAGAGAATGTGATGGGGAAATCTTAAGAGGCCTTTTCTGCTTCCAAATGACATGGTTCAATTACACTTCTTTTCAATTTACTGAATCTGCTTTCCTTTTCAGAGTCAATACAGATTTGTATGTGAAGCTATTTTGAAGGTGTATGAAGAAGGATTTATTAAACCTTTACAAGCATCACTGCATAAGTAAAGAGCAAAAACCAGGATATCAGTTGAGGAATCCTGTTCTCTGTAATGAACTGGCAGCATTCTTTGTGCCATAATACTGCTTGCAGGAAATAATAGTGAAGTACAGCAAAGAATTGACAAAGGACTTTGAAAACTTCAGCACTGTTGCACTTTACGTTGAAACGAAATCAGTCTCTGAAACTCTTCTAACCTTCATCTGTTTGAAGACTTTATTTTCGTGCTTTGCTCCGAACAAACCATAAACTGAAAGAACTAATTGTGTTCAGGGTAATCTACGATATTTCATTGTAGTGCCATATACTGCGCTTCTGGTTGAATTGCTACAAACAAGGCTTGGAATTATTTCACTCTGTTTTACACCCATGTCTCTTAAAATGAAAAACAAATGAAAAAATACACTAAGCCATGGTCTTTTTCCAGTGCTAGGTTTATTTACTATGTACAGATTCTCACTGTTTTGTTTTTTACAACATTAGCAATATTGCCAATACTAGATAGATACACACTGCCTACTGATGCAGCACACTTTGTCCTACACCCTTACTAGAGACCAGCTGGTTGTTAGAGGAAAGCTGGCGTCTGTGTTAACCCAGCAGTAGCTGCAGAATGCCCACTTACCAGCATCTTGTACAAAATAGTAACAATAAAAATTAAAAAAAAAATAAACAACATTTATCTGACACAGCTTGTGTGTCATACACTGGTGTATTCTGATTCATGTGAATTAAGATTACGTGATTAAGTGATGGGAACTAATGCATGCATTGTGTCTTAACCCCTTAAGTGCCTTGAGACTTACAGCGTACATCCAGTGAAAGGCACTCATGATTCTGTGGGGGTGGTATTGTCCTGTCATATTTATCTTAACGGGTTCAGATTTTAAAAACGGCCCTTGGTGCTTGGAATGTGTTACCGCAAGGGGTCATGGAAATACCATTCCCTCTTTCCTTATACAAGTACCTGTGTGCTACACTCAGTAGCAATAGCACCTCTGCCAACTTAATGAGCATTGTATGCTGCTGTGTTGTAATTATGTGAAAAATCTGACACATTCCTTCATTCCTTCCAACTAGTAACTTACTAGCAGCTTACTATGAAATGCTGGTAGGTCATTAGAAGCTGATACTTTGTTTTATCCTTATATTGAGAATAGCTGTCTTACTCGATTAGAACATAACTCTTTAATAGCACTGATAATTAAGTTGAATTTACAATCAGATGTGATTTAATTCCATTATCTGCTAACCAATTACTTTTTAAGCCCTCATAGTTGATTTCAAGCCATGTTCGTACAGGTCTACCTGTTATTTTTTTTAATTGTTCAGGTGGGGTGAAGGGAGGAGAACACTATGAAGTGGTCCCAGAACTTTAATTCCGTAATGACCCCTATCACCTTCTGTTAACGCGTGTGCAAAATTGTTCCAGTTGGTATGGGTTGCTTCTTATTTAAGTAGGTAGAAGATTTGTAAGAAATGTTTGTCTGATACAGTATCTGAGCTCATTCTAAAGATGCATAAATGTCCCAGTTTTTTAATATTTTTCAAAGATAGAAGAAACCAAGTCAGAAGCAAGGTATCCAGTGTAATATACTGTAAGGAAAAATTGGTCACTTCTTTGACTGCCTTGTGAGAACATAACTTTGTGCCCTCTATTTAAAAGATTTAATTTATTGTATTGGTTTCCTGAAAATGTTTATCCAGTAAACTTTGTTGTAAGCTATATAGAGCATAGAATTAAAATGGAAAGTTCTACACTAAATGATTTTTAACTATTGAAGAATTATATTATGTAATATACTGTATTCTATGGACATTTGAAAGAGATCAGCTATGAACTGTTAAGTGGAAAGGGATTCAGGCAAAGTGAAATCCTGGCTTATGACAGTAATAAACGTGTACCACAATGCCAAATGGAAGATAGATTTTTAAATATTTTTAGAAAACAAAATCATATTAGGTGGCCTGTGGCCCTGTTACTTATATTTCTAGATTTGATGCTTAAAACAATATTATCCCTCAGTGAAAAATAAATCATACAAGACTCTTTAGATCTGATAAACTGAAAAAGAGTAATAAGGTAGCTTTAATCTCAGTTTTAGTTTAAGCCATTTGCAACAGAAGAAAATTCTTCTTTAGGATAAAGTATAAGCTTTAACTTCCATGTGATGAGATTATTAGCTGAGATGCAGGCTAGTTGGAAGGGGTTTTTTAAACTCAGCACTTAATGTCTAAAAATTGAAGTGATTCATCCATTATATTGAAATAAATTTTTTTCATAGTCAAGTTGTAAATGAAAATAGTATTTGCCCTTTTTTCCTGAGGGAAATCAAAATGGAGTTTATAGCAACATTATATAGTGTTGGTATGTCACATATTTAAATATTCTTATGTAAAGTTGCCAAAGCAGTTTGAATTCAAAAGACCCATTTATACCACAATTAAGTGTGGGATATTTACTGGTCATCTGTCATTACTGTTTTGATTACAAACACAAGCAAGAATAATAGGTCTCTTCAAAATCTTCCTCTGCACTGACTTAAGCTGATTTGTAGTGTATTAACTAGTTGCACTGGGGGAAGGAAAAAAAAAAAACAAAACCAAAACCAAGAACAAAGTAACTATTCTTAGATAATTGGCCATCAGAGATTCAGTGGCTTTTTGGCTTCTCCCAAGCCAGGATGGTGGTAACAAAAAACTGATTGGGAAAGAGAATAGCATTAAAGCTTTTGTGCACCGTAAGTCATTCATTAAAATGTTTCTACCTGTTGTGGTATAAATGGCCTTTAAAATATTTTTATATGGCCAAAAAAACAAAACTGCTAAATATTTTACTTTGGGTTATGAAGATCTGTATCATCCTTAAGAGTTTTTTAAAGTTTTTGTATGTTTCATGCTGTACAAAACATGAATGTATCTTTCAGACATAATGACCTATAGACCTATACGTGATTGGTGTTATGACTGTTGGATTTTATGAATAATTATTTTCATACCATTTGATTAGGAAAATGTTGGGTGGGTGTGGGAAAGAGTATGTTTGTAACACTTCCATGATACAAATCCAGTTTAAAAAAAAAAAAAAATGTTTTCATTGTAAATAAGAGCAATATTATGACAATTTTGTGCCAATGTATAATGTTAAGACTTTTGTTTTCCTTTCAGGTTTGGATCGAAAACTTACCACTACCATCTCTTGTTTAAAGTGGATTTGAAGGGGGGTTTTAGTAGAAAGACATGGGGCTCTAGCAGGGGCTTTGAGTGTTTTGGGGGCATTTTTTAGTTTTTGCTAAATATGAGATAAGATGCAGGTATTGTTTAATAAGCCACCTACAGATTGTCAGCCAATCCACTTTGAGAAACACTGCTTTAGATATATCAGAAAACTGAGAGCTGAAGGATTAATTTATCCTGAATATAGAAACATTTGGTATTTAAAATAACTCGCAAGTCTTAAGCAGTAAAATATTGCTTTTATGCATTTTATTTTTATATATTCTCTCCCAGTTATGAAAAAGAGAAAGCCTGATATTTTTTTCTCACTGCTTTTAATGCTAGCTGATGTTTCTTCCACATTTCTCTGTTAAAGATTTAAAGCTTATGTTCCATATAGATAAAGCAATAACACTTCTTCTAGAACATCTGATTACAGTTTGGCACACCATCTATTAGAGAAAGGGTGAGAAAGCAGTTGGGAGATTAAGAAACTTGAGGAATTTGTTGTGGACCCATTGTAGCCAGCAGCTTTCCACGGAGACCTTCCAAAAAGCTTTGTGGTACCTGTGGAAGGGCCAGAATGCAGGAGACCTGCTGCAGTTGCACTGCCCAGGGAGACAGGAATTAGGGAGGGTCTGACATAGAGATGCTGGAGCTCCAGGTATGCTGTGGAGCTGAATTATGTGATATTTTTATGCTTCTGCAGTGTTCGTGCAGGTGTGTGGGTGATGTTTGATGGCTCAGGGAATTAGCATGAGCATGGAAACAGTCTGCATATCCACCAATTTCCAAGTGAAATCAGGTTGTCCAATACCTATGCTGTAGTTTTTTGACTGTAGAGCCACTGCGCAGGCAAACTTCAAGACCCTCATCCCTGAGGATAAAAGGAGGGATTGGTTTATGGTCCAAATTAAAATTTTGCATATTTGGACTTCCACAAAGTTCAAGAATGGTGCCCTCTAATGTCACTTGTAGTCTTTTTGTAGCTCACATCTCAGGTCCTTAGTTGGCTGAGTGTATTTGCTAGTTTAAGGTACCACTTTTTGTCTCAAGACTGGAAAAGCTCTCTTCCGTTGCTACTTTTAGTGCTAGGATCCAGTATCAAAATCTGGTAAAAAACATATTCATTGATTAGACGTGGTTCTTGTGTGAAATTGCAGGGATTATAATTAAGTGGCGATTGGGAAGCTGTTACAAGGGGGAAATGGTTGGTTTGTTTCAGTCTAACTGTTCTGTCCAATCTCTGTTATCCCACTGCAGCTGTAAATTGAAACTGTTTTTTGGGGGTGTGTGTGGGGGTGTGTGTGTCTATGTGTTTTGGTTTGTCAGTTCACAGGGCTTCTCCAGCTACAAGTTTTTAACTGATGCATAAACTGTAAACTCCGGCATGTTTTACTCATTGAGAGCTCAATGGTAAAAATTTGAGATAAATCACTTTTTTTAAAAAATGCTGAATTGCTTAATTTGAAAAATATGGACTTTTTGATTTCTTTGAACCGGTAGCCTCATTTAAAAAAAAAAAAATCTACTAAAAATACCTATCATTGTAGTCTACTATAACCTGAACTATGGTTTCACAGACTGGCTGACAGTTTGTTGGTTGTGTTATTTCGTATTTAGCAAGCTTATGCATTTTAAAGGATAGGTTTTTTTCAAAGTATTTTGATGTTTGAATAGTAGCACTTTATCTCATGCTTACTACTGACTGAACTATTGGACAAAATAAATTGGGTTTGGAGAGAGATGCTTAATGGATTTCTGTACAGAGATGATTCGGATTACACCCTGGTACGAATGCTTTCTGTTGTTCAAACCATTTCTGGTTTATTGTTCATGTGTTTCTGAGGGACTTTCAGAAAATAGATATTAATTAATACAATATTAATAATTCTATCATCTCAAATTTCCTGTCTTAAAAGAATATAAAGCTTGCATTTAGAAAAAAAAAAAAAAAAAGGGGCAAAAATAGAAACTACAGGGTACTTGTAAATTTATCTCTGTGATCTCTCTCAGCTAGCTGCGGATTAGCTATGTTTACTGTAAATGTTTCTGCTAAGCATTATTTTTAACATTAGATCAATTACCTGGAAATCAGTATTTTTTTTTACTTAACTTATTTGAATTTTGATAACTAAAGATAATGCACAACAAAGTTTAAAGAAGTTGTCACCCTTTTACTCTTAGGCCAGGGGCCCAAGACATGAGTGAAAGGGTTAAACAGTTTACATTAAGCTGTTGTTTTCTTTAACTAGAATATATCCACAAAGACTAGACTATAAACTATCCAGTGCAATTATCTCAGTACATTGGGGCACCACAGTAACAAACCATAATAATCTTACAGGAAAATTAAGGTAAGAAAACGAAGGATTTGTTTTATCCAGTGTATCCAGATTTGTTTTCCGTTTGTTTCTTTTACCAGTGATCCCATTTTAACCAGTCGATTTGGCAGGGCTGTTTGTGTATTGTTTGGGTTTTTTCTTTAACAGGTGCTATACTATGTGTAAATACAAAGGGAAGAATATTATTTAGATCATTATTAACAATCTGATGGTGGCAATATTTTTTGCTAGTTACTTCTGGTAATTAATTTGCATTTCCAGCTGTGGCTTTGAGTTGTCAAATTTCATCTCAGTTTTATACTGCTGAATGACGGACTGCAAGTGTGAAGTAAATCATCTCAGAGTTGAATAGCTCTTTTGTTGTTTAGACTAACTCTTGTGTATCTTTATTAATGTTGGGGAGATGGGAAGGTTCTTTCTGTAAGTAGACTTTTGCCTATAAATTTGTTTAAAAGCACATGACAGGGAGAAAAACAAAAACAAAACCTAAACGCAACATCTTGGCTAAACAGCTGGGGTGGTTGGTTGAAAATGATGGAAACTTGAAATTGGTCAACACTGGACAATGTGAAAATAAATTCAGCTTTTGCCACTGCAGCTACTGTATGCTTTAAAGGGCCTTATGTATTTGTCCTCATTTTGATAAAATGAAATTTCTTGCCATTAAATTGATACACTAACTTCTACCGAAAACCAGCAGTTACCAGGATAAATATGCTAATTAACATTTAACAAGTCTTGTTTTAGTCTTAAGTAAATTTCATTCTATTATGTGAAAAAAATGCTGTTATGCATATTTTGTGGATATATTTAATTTCAGTTGACAAATAGTTGTCTAGGTACAGACTTGAAAATATATATATATAGTTTACTTGTGGATCTTAATTGTTTAATTGCAAATAAAGATGTGCTTTAGTAATTTCAAGGGGTTTTTTTTTTTCTTCGATTTTCTTGCTACTGTACACACAATTTTGTTATGCTACTTTTACACACTTCTGATGCCAGAGTGTTCTGATGTTCATCTCGTGTTTTCCTTTTTGATGTTGTATGCCATAAATACAGCCCAATGGATTGAGCACTAGAAGAGGATGCTAAATTATCAGGAAAGAAATTGCTTGGCTACAGAAGAAGCACAACAGTATCAACCATTTTTATAACCTGAAAAAATGTATGATGGAAGAATAGCTACTTATCTTCTATACAGTGAGTGTTTTGGAAGCAATGTTCAATAGAGATTACAGTCAGATCACAAAACTTAGGGCATGAGGAACACCTAATATGAAGAACAAAAATTCCAAATGGAAGCTTGTGATGAAATATTTGCTGTCAAAAAGTGAGAAGATATTCAAAGTACAAAAAGATGATGAGAGGATTTAAGAGGCAAGACAAAAATACCAGGAGGGATAAGTCTTAGAAAAGGGAAAGACCCATATGTTCTTAATTTGGTTGATTAACATAGGACTTTAAAATGAAGACAAGGTGTTTGCATTTTAAATACAAAAATACAAACCTACTGAGAAAGCATTTGAGGAGAGAAACAAGAAGAGGTATTAAGTAGGAAGAGATTTGTTTAAACTGTAGTGGGAAGACTGGACACAAGACTTGACAAGTCGCAGATACCACAGTTGCATGTGCATATAGTTGGACTGTATCTGAGTAGCAAATAGTGAGGAAGGAGTAGACTGTAATGACATGGAGGTTAGCAAGAGGCTGGTGTGAACTAGGAAGAGCAAAAACGTGCAAAAACGTGTCACTGAAGCTTCAGCAAGGAAGCTGGGAATAATGGAGTTCTTGGCAGCAACAGGGTGTGTGAGTGACAGAGTGGAAAGAAGTTCAATTTGAGGACATAGTTGCAGATGGGCAGAAGATTTAGGGACAACCTCTAAGAATCAGGTAATTCTCCAGAATGCTTTGTTGAATAGGAAAATGTGAATTGGTGTAGACTTAATGGCAAGGAGACTATCTCATATGTGACAGAGATCTCTGCTAAAAATTGAGCATCCTTGTTCTGCAAATGATGTTAGTTGATCTGCATTGAGAATTCATCAGATACCTGAAAAACACCAAGATAATTTTTTTTCCCCTTCAATAACATCTTGTATGTTTCCTTCTGGAACTTTATTGCAAGCTCCCACTTGTATTTTGTGACAGACTACCTGGAGCAAGCATAGTCTCTGCTCTTCTGATAAAAAGTATCTAAATTCACACATTTCATGTTTTATGTTCCTCAGTAAACAACGAGGCGTAAACCTGAATCTCACCTTTCCCCTGGGCTTGCCTTGCCCTTCTGCTTGTGGCAGGAGGATTGCTCTCTTGTCAACACAGGGATACTAAAATAACTGACATTTAACATTAAAATCGGTCTGTTGCTTCGTCAGCAAATAGTGGGCAGTTACCTGGCAGCTTTTTTTTTCTATTTCAGAAATGCCATCCTAGATAACTCGGTGTATATGGTGGCAGTGCAGCTGATTTTGCCATAGCAGTGTGCTAATGTGTGTTTCATTATGGCAGTTCTTCTGCGTGGCAGGTGAGTGAGCCTTTATCTCAGCCCGGGTTTCATAACTGAGTGTAGAAAACATGTTATCATTAGCAGAAGAGCTGCCACTGACAAGCCAAAGCCTCTGCTTTCCCAGACTGTTGCACAGGCTGGATTCCCACTTATCCTGGGATTCCAAAGGAGTCTGGAGCTTATTTACCTGGAGCAGTGTCACTGTTCACTGGCACTATACTTTGCAAGCAGAGTTTGTATTGCCTACCCTTTATATTGCCTTTCCTGAGGTTTTCTATTTGGGCATCTCAAATACTATCTTGAACACAAGTTTTTATATACTCAAAAAAAAAAAAAATACAGTCCAGTCCAGCCCTTTGTAATTGATGTGGCTTTCCCCCTTAGACTGGAGTAACAAGTAAAAAAATGGTAAAAGTGTAGGTCACTGGGACAAGCTGTATTTGTACTTTCAAAGGACACTGGAATGCCAACTTGCATTTTGTTACATAATCTTATTTGAATGTATAAATGCCGAAATGTTTACAGCAGTGTTAGTTTGTGGACGGCAGTGCTTTATTTAATATATTGCTACAGTTATCCTTTCAGGCAGTGCTGAAAGAGACGATTTTCCTCTAAACTTAATGGCTTAAGGAGCGCGTTTGCCTGAGGCTTCTCGTTACTGCAGGCCCGCCGCGGACGAGAGACAGTTCTGGCTGAACCGCGCCGGGAAACGTGTTACCAAAAATTCCAGAAATTGCGCGAAATGATTTGAAAGCCATCCCGAGGGCTCGCTCATACGAAGAGCCGCTTCGCGCGAGGCTTTCCCGGCCGCTCCTGGCTCAGGCCGCGGCCGCTGTCCCCGGGGGCCGGTCGC